AATTAATGCTCAACCCTAATTTTAATTTAGTCAGTCACACATGAACAATGGTTTAAAATTACAAGAAGAAGATCTTAAAATTATTAAGATGTTAAAAATGTTTATTCATCGGTCAACCATGCAATTAATTACAGCAAACGCATAAATATGCTCCAGAAACAGAGACCATTACTTGTTGGCTTCGAGTTGTGCATTTTACGCACGGACGCAGTGTCAAGAAAAAAAGGTTTCGAAAAGTGGACGGGTAAATGGTCGACCGGGTCCCGTAATAAACCATCGCCACCGCCCATTTGGTGTAATTATATGGAGGGTTATAATTACTGGTTGCAAGTTGTGACCAGCAAGCTGGACAGTGGTGTCTTAAGAAATTGGCGTCACGTATTATTTACCACAAATGAATTATTCTCGTGTCCGAACCTAGTCACCTAGTAGTTTCTTCGCCATTAAATATCATGGCAAAGAAACCAACGTGACTTTAGTTTTATGTTGAAGAAATACCAAACGAGTTACTCGAATTTTTGTTAGGAATAAAATATGGATTTATGGATTATAACAGCAGTAGCAACCTGTCGTTGCAGGTTGCTAAATTAATTAAATTACAAATTAATTACAAATTTAATTAATTTGTACGTTTTGTTTAAATTTTATCGGATGGCAGAGCTCGTTTCCTTTGTTGTATATAAAATGTTAAGCTTCCTTATATATACACAGATTAATTAAATTTGTAATTTAACTAAATTAATTAAATTATTAATTAATTAAATTTGTAATTTAAATAATTTAGCAACCTGTCGTATATATATAATCCGTTTGCTGCAACTAATTGCAAATATATAGATATTTCTTGTCTTAACGCTACATCTACTAGAAGCCTATTTCTAAGCTTTTAAATTCCATTGTTTATCATCTGAAATTCATTCGCTTTGTTGTTAGCTGTTTACTCGCAATGTTAAATTTGTTAGAACAAAGCTTCCGATATACCTTGTAATATAATGCAGGAATATGTATATCGTTGAACATGAACTGATATTGTGGAATAATGTTAGTATATAAAATGCTCTGTGGAATAATGATATTATAAATGTACCTGAAAATTATAATAATTCTACAAGAGTAATAAGTAGACTGCGGATGTTTATGCAAAATAAAATCTTCGCGAATGTTTCTTCAAAACCTGATTCTAAATAGGAATTTATTTTATTCTGCAAATATTATAACATGAACTTTACTTTCAATCTTTTTTATATTCTTGCATATTGTTTGCATTTTGTAGTTTCTGGCACATTCAAATTTCCAATAAATGCATAAAGATCTGCAGTCTAGTAATAGGCAACATGGCTATTTAAGTTCAACGATGACTTTCAACATCAAGATCAACGTTAAATTTCCCTTGTTATAAATTATTTAAATACGTAGTATAAAAACATTCTTCCAGACAAATTTTGGTGATTAGTGTAGATTTACTTCTTACTGTATATCGTTGAATATGAACTAATATTGTGAACTAACTAATAATGTTAGTATATTAAATGCTCTGTGGAATGATGATATTTTTGTTCAGGCAATGTAACGGCAGCAGCTCCGGTTACGAGAGTTGCGAGTATCTTTGCTGTGGACGAGGACATGTCACTAAAACGGAGGAAGTTCTGGAAAGATGCGACTGCAAGTACGTCAGCTGTTGTTACGTAAAGTGCAAGACGTGCAGGAAAATCACGAAGACGTACGAGTGCAAATGAGCGGAGGAAAAACAAAAAATTTCGAATCGAGATCGATCCTCGTCGAGTCCAAAAAAGAAATATATTTGCACAGGGGGGGAAGGTGAGAATGCAGTCCGCCATTCTGTTTAAAAAATCGAACTTAGTTCTAGTCAGTCCTATAAATATTCGTACTCCCTATGCGTATCGAAGAAATTTGTCTAAATTAAATGGCAAGTTTGTTGTTTCCAAATCAATTTTTTCATTATTAAACTGCCAAGTTTTATGTGTTCATAGGAAATTTGAATGTGTAAGTAACTATAAAATGTATACAGTATGCAATAAAATAATAAAATATCGAAAGTAAAGTTCTATTCGGATTCCATTTTTGTAGGTACGTTTGCAAAAATTTTATTTTGCATAAGAATCCGCAGTTAACTTATTATAACTATGTACATGAATAAAGTTTATTCAGAGAAAATTACATTAAATTGATTAAATTAAAATTGATTAAATTAAATCAATAATAACGAAAATAAATTAATTTTTTTTACCTACATAGCATATTATGTAGGTCAACAAAAGTATTCGTTCTATGTATATTTTGTTTAAAACATTATATTATAATAGTATTAATATTTTTTTTAATAATATTTTAGTATTTCGTACAAGTATTCTTTTTTATAGTGTCACTTAAACGATTTGACATACTATTAACCCTTTAACCTACGATTTACTGTAGGATCGTGAATGCCATAACCAAGTACAAAATTCCTTGCGCCCTTTCATACGACGTGTCTGACTCGTGTTTTTCATATTTGACTCAAATTCTCTGCCACGAGTCTCACACGTTGTTATAGGTTAAAGGATTAACTAATTTTAACGTATTATTGATTCTATACCATTCCAAACTTCAACTATTTTGTCTTTTAACATTTGTTTATTGAAAATTCGGCAGTTTCTTAATCTTTCATCTAATTCCGTTCACAAATATTAAATAAGATGTAAGACTGTAGGGATGTAGATAAATATTGAGGGGTGTTGTCAAGTTTTACTGAAAAAAATAATTTTCTTGTAGATCCAATTTAAACGCACAATTTAAATATATTTTATTTTTTTTTTATTTTTATTTTTTTATTGTGTTTTTATAGTTACCTCACAGGGTTATTAGCAACTACATGAATTTCTGGTACGTCTAAATTTGGGTGAATAGTTTTGTTTGTTTAAGGAACATGATTAAGTTATTACAATCTTCAATTGTATTGGTGGCGTTTTCGATTTTTTCATGGATTTTGAATTTTCTTCTTTCTCATTGGTACTTGACGCAGGAGGAAGTGATGATGTGTTCTATCGTGTTCGGTGTGCTGCAACTGGTA